TGACCCGCACCAGCACGGGCTGCCGGCCCTGCGGGTACACGGGCTCCCACATCAGCTGGTGGCTGCGCATGAAGCTGATCAGCTCGTCGGGGAAGTCCTTGGTGGACTGCAGGAGGGGGTCGTAGGTCTCGCTGGGGCACTGTGTGACACATGGGCTGCATTAGGGCCGGCCCAGTCCGTCCCTCTCCCCCTCCAGCTGCTCCCCGTTCCCTCACCGTGCCGGGGCGGGGGTAGGGGACACGGCCCTTGTATTCCACCCAGCGGTAGTCGAATCCCTCCTTGTGTGCGAAGGGGCCGCTGAAGGCGGCTCTCACGGCAGCCATGGAGTAGATGCAGACGGCAGAGCCACTGAAGACGCCGCTGTGGGGAAGGACAGAGCTCTCAGTGTCCCCCTGCCCCACGGGGACCAGGTGTGTTCACACCCACCCCCCGAGAGAGCCCACGGGGACCAGGTGTGTGCACACCCACCCCCCGAGCGAGCCCACGCTGTCCCTGGCAGCCCTGGGGTCACGCATAGCACCCCAGGGTGACAGGAATCGCTTTGACACAGCCCATGCAGCCTGGGGATCACTGACTGAGCCACAAAACTGTGGTTTAACCATGTGCTGGTGAACCAGCAGCAGGGAAAGCAGGGAAATGCTGGTGGCCCTTCCTCAGCCTGCTGGTGCTGGTGCTGGTGCTGCCCTTCTCCCCACAGAGCTCCCTCTGAGGAGGGCAGCATGGTGGGGCTGCACTGCCCCACACAGGGCCCTGCTCACCTGGAGACTGTGAAGAGCCCAAAGACAAGGGGGTTCTGGGGGTCGCGGGTGCGCAGCAGGAAAACATCCTCTGCAAAGAGAGGGGTGGAGGTGAGGCACAGGATGCAGGTGGGCATCCCGGGGCTGTGTTGGAGGGGGGAGCACTGCAGGAGCTGTGTTACAGGCCTGGGCACTCACCCAGCTGGTCAAAGTGGGTCTCAGTGCCCTGAGGCCCGGGGATGGAGCACACCAGGCGGGCCTTCAGGAACGTGCTCCAGCGGTTGATGAGGCCGCGCTTCCCTCCAACATCGTTCTGGGAGGACCAAAGAGCCAGGATCAGTCCAACCTCTCTGAGTCTCCTCCACTGCTGTGCCCTCCTCACTCCCACAGAGGGATACCCCCAGCCCTGAGCTCTCTGCCTGTGGCCAGTGTGCAGTGACACCCTCACATTCCTCTCCTTGGGATGCTCCTTGGTCCAGAAAAGCTAAAAGCCCACCTGGTGGGACAACAGGCCACGGGGTGTTGGCAACTGACCTTGCAGACCCTGGCCACCCTGGCGTGGATGTGCCGCTGCTCCCACTGCCCAGCGTCCATGGCCGTCTCACGGAAGAAGATGTAGACTTTATCATCGTGGGGGTTGTAGGTATCAGGGATGGTGTAGGCACCAACAAACACGGGCTCTGAGGGGGAAAGGAGCAGCACAATGTGGCCCTGTGCCCTGATCTCACCCTATGGTACTGCCCTGAAGCCCTTGGGAACAGTGTGAGGTGCTGAGGGGACACACAGCACCATTCCCAGTGCTCAGGCTGTGGAACGTGTGCTGGAGCATGGGTCCCACCAGGGTCTTCATCAGTGCTTCCCCACAGCAAGGAGAGAGGGCCCAGGTCAGAGCTCTGGCCCCAGCGCTGGCCCCAGCCTCTCCCTAGCTGGAAGGAGAGGCCCCATTGCCCACAGGTGCCCCTGCTCCTACCGTGCAGCCAGTGGTCCTGGTTCTGCTCCGTGCGGATGTAGCTCTGCTCAGCCCCATGCACCCAGGTCCGGAAGAAGGCAGCGCTGCTGCCCATGAAGTCACTGGAGGTGCCTGAGTACAGCTCCCCACCTGCAGGGTGGGGATGTGGATGGGAAGCATCACCATCCAGCACAGATTGCTCCCAGCAGTGCCCTCCCAGCCTCCCCTCTGCTCCTCCCTCCCTCTTACCGATGAGGAGTCCCGTGAAGGGCTCGTGGGGGCTGTAGGGGCACCGTCCTCGCCCCGATTCCAAGGAGTGGGTCACCAGCTGCATGCGGGGAGCCCGGGCACCCTGCCAGAGCCAAGGGGGAGATGTCAGCCCAGAAGGAGTCTGGGAGCAAGCTGGAACTTGGGGGAAAGAGTGGGAAGGAAGTTGGTGTGTCTGTGATGAGTGGGCTCTTCAGGGGGATGCCAGAACCTGGTCCCGTGCCCATGGGGACACCCTGACACCCCCAAGCCAGAGCTGCTCTCTCCATGCCAATGCAGGGCCTGCACCAGGCTGGACACCCTTCCAAGGCTCTGGGGCTCCCTCTCCCGCTGCTCCCAGGGTGAGGGGTCCCTTGGCACCTTCTGCCATAGGGATTGTCTGTCCGGGGGTCCCTCACCTTGCCCCGGGCTCCCAGCTGGATGAAGGCACAGACGGGCTGGTAGGAGCCGGTGCCGCAGGCGAACACGTGGCTCTGGTTGTAGGGCTGCAGGAGGCGGACGAAGTTGGCACACTCGGTCTGTGCAGGGGAGGTGTTTGTCAGGGCTGAGCCGTGCTGGCTGCTGGGGGCGCAGAGCCCGGCCAGAGCCTGTCCTGGCAGCTGCTCAGCTGGGCTCGGCTCCGGCTGGCTCCACAGCGCCATTCCAGGCAGACCCCCAGGCTCCCTTCGGGCTGACGGGGTTGTTTAATATCTCTGCTGAGCTGCCAAAGGCGACGGGCGGGGGCTGCCAGCCCCACTTACCTCCACGTTCTTCCCTGCCAGCTGGCAGTGCTCGACCTGCTCCCTGGGGGCTGGCCAGAAAATCTGAAACACAAAGACCCCATGGCTGCAGCCCCGCTTCCCTCAGCCTGCCGTGGCAGCCCTGGGCAGGGGCTCAGCCAGGCTCAGGTGCACAGGGAGGATATGGGGTTGCTCTGGTCAGGTCTGACCCGCTCTGAGTCCCCAGTGGGCAGCCTGCCAAAGCAGCTCGGAGTGGACCTGGCGTGGGGACAGAGGCTGGGCGTGCCGTGGCCCACCCAGGCTGTGGCAGGCTCTCCTGGATCCCAGCCTGTGGGAACACCAGGCTGCAGCCCCTTAATGGGATTTTCTTTTGTTGGGTTCTGGCAGTACAGCCGGCCAGCAGGATGTCTTGGGATGACATTAGTGGGGTCACTGCTGCAGCTCTGGAGGCAGCACAGGGACTGGGTGTGACACAGGGCTCTGGGCACTGCCTGCAGCCCACCCAGGTCACATCTCCTGGCCAAGCCACCCTGTCCCTCCGGCGCCAGCCCTTCCCAGCAGGGCACAGCTCCACCAGGGATGGGCTGACCCCACTGATTGAGACATCCTGGTGTAAATGTGTCCCTGGCGGGGTTGGAACAGCCCAGTTCAGAGCACATCCACCTCCACGCCCTGGCGCTGGGACGAGGAGTGGTTCCCAGGGAGGAAGAGGCCAGCCTGGCCAGGGCCACCATCCTCCCAGGACTGACCTTCTCAGGCTCTCTGCTGGGATGGTCCAGGTGGAGAAGGAAGATATGGTTTTTTGCTCCCACCATCAGCCAGGCCCTGTCTTCATCCACCAAGAGGGCTTGGAAATCCATCCCATCCCCTGAGGCCAGCAGCAGGCGAGAGCTGTTGGATTTCAGCAGGTCTGAGGAGCAAAAACAAGGTGGGAGAAAGAGAAACTCATCCATGAATCACACAATCTGCAGCCAGAGGCCCCATGGCTCCCTCTCTGGGGCAGCTCTGGTAATCTATCCTTGCTCCAAGGGTACACAACATTCCTGCCACTACCTTGGCAAAACCCACCACCCTTGGTGACCCTCAGCTCATCATGGAGCCTCCTCCATGTGCTTAACTGAGGGAAAAGTCACCCCTACAGAGAGCAGAACTGCTCTGCCCTTGCCCTGGCTGGGCTGTTTGCAGGCACAGGGCAGGACAGGGGTTCAGCCCCAGTAGCTCAGAGTGCTCAGCTTCCAGCCTGCCTTCCAGAGGAGCTCCTGGAGCCCCAAAGCCACCCTGAAACCGTGGGCAGAGGATGGAGCAGAGAGGTGACTCACTTGCTGTGACTCCTGGTGTTTTTTTCCCCCGGGCTTCAGATCAAGGAAATTTACATTAAAAAGTTTTTTTAATGTAAAAGAAAACAACAACATTTTGCTGGAGCAAAGCATCCCTCCAAGGAAAAGCTGTATGGAAACAGAGCCAGCACAACCTGCTCTGAACACCCTCTGCACCCACCCCTAAGTCTGTGAAGTGGCAGCTGGGCTCTCTCCCCTGCACAGGCTCAGGCAGGTGGATGGATGCACATCTGTGCCTCCAGTGCCACCCCAACCCAGCACCCCACATTTCCCACTCTGTGTCCTGAGGTGCAGCCTAAACCCAGCCTTGGACTGGCTCAGGGAAAGATGCAGGGGTGCCCTGACCCAGTGCACTCCTCTGGGAGCAGAGACAGGGCAGAGGGAAAGGCTCTGCTCTTCTGGCTGCAGCTCCTCCCGTGCAGCAGCCGGGGTGGCTCTCCCGGCCCTTCTGGCACGGTTGTGGCCATGTGGGTGTGTGAGGAGGACAATAAGCTGTTGTGTCTTGGTTAAAACTCCGGAAACAACATCCCTGGGGCTCGTGTTGGTCCATGATGTGCAGTGCCAGGTTTGGGAGGGGTCTGTGGGGCGAGCCCCCCCCAGTGCAGCAGCTGCAGCCCCAGCCCTGATGCCAGGGATCAAGATGGAGCTTCCAGAAGCCATAACACATCTCTTCCATCTCTAGAAGTGGCAGGACGTGGCTGGGGACAGAGGGCTGGCTCCTCTGGTGAGGCTGTTCCTGACTTTGGTGTAGAGCAGGGTAATGGGAAGGGGAGATGTGCTGCACTGGATGGGGGCTGGATGGAAGTGGAATGTGGCTGGAAACTCAGGGAAACCTGTAAGATCTGGGCTGAANTCACCCTCTGCCGTGTCCTGGCACTGGCTGAGCGGGTCAGCTTTCAGCGCGTCCTGGCAGCGGGCACGCCTGTGGGAGAGCAGAGAGGGCTGTGGGATCCCTCTGTGGCAATGCTCCAAGAAGGGGAAGCAGGAAGGGGTGGGTGGCAGGCAGGCAGAGTGGCAGTAGGGGTCTGGCTGATGGGTAAAGCTCCAGGGCTGCCACTTGCCCTTCCCTGGTCTGAGCAATATCACCTTGCAAGGGGATGCAGGGCTGGCCCGGGCACACACTCACCTCTTCTCGGTCAGCAGGTGTGGGGCACAGGTCTTACTGTCCCAGGTGCAGTAGGGATCCCTGGCCAGGCAGCAGTCGGTGCAGGTTTTGCCGTAGAGCTCACAGCGGTACAGGGAGAGCTGGAGCAGCCCATGGGTGCTGCTCACAAACAGCTCCTGCTGCTCGGGAAGTGGGACAGGGGCCGTCAGAGCCACGGCTGGGGCTGGCAGGGAACAGAGCCCTGCCTGTGCTGGGGTGGAGACACTGGGGGACAGTAGGAGAACGAGACAGAGCCTGCTTTTCCCTCAATGCCCAGGGTCCTGTTCCCTAAACGTGGGCCCTCTGGGGCCAAGGGACCCGGCACAGTGGCTGGGATCAGCTGGCCTCTATCCCTGTCCCCAGACTGCTTTAGGGAGAAGCAGAAGGGACGCTCACCCGCTTTGGTGATAACTTCATGTCCAGGATGGGAGAAGGCACCTGGAGGGGGAACAAGAGGGTGGTGCAGCCAAGCCAGTCCCTCCTGGGTGCCCCAGCCTACCAAGTAGGACTGTGTCCCCAGGGGTTACAGGATGCCAGGTCCATGGTCACCGGCTCCATGCAAGGAGCCTGGGCCCTGGGCTGACCCCCTGGCATGGGCAGTCCAGGACAGCTCGGCCCAGCAGCCCTGCTTTCAAACCTGAGCTCAGCGGTCCCATTTCAGTGTGGGCTCCAAAGTGCAACCCACATGCCCCCTCACGGACTGGATGGGGAGCTGGAAAATGACTCGGCTCCAGTCCCACTGGCACCCCTCTGTGTTTTTCTGCTGCCCAGGGCGGGTGGGAGCCCCCAGCAGCGAGGTGAGAACCTCCCTGAGAGCGGCAGTGGCTTCTGCAGAGCCCGCAGGGAGGTG